AAATCGATATTTTGTTTACTTATATACTATCTATTCGATACATATACTTGTGTAGTAAAATTTTAACTGACAATCATCATGATGGTGATATGACATGATGGCGATTTGACATGATGACATAATCATATGATATTTTGATATTCTATGTCAATATCATATAAGTGTTTAATGGGTATAAAATGATCAATAATATTTTGACTAATAATAATAAGTCAATTTATAGTCATAAAAATCTATTTGCTCCAAAATAAAAATGAAAAAACTTAATTGAACACAATAGAAAAATAAAATTTTATTTAAATAATTCATGAGCTTTTTAAAGCATTAGGTTTTTAATTTTGGTAAAATAAATCAATTTTCAGATTTATACGGTCATAAAATAAGTTTGAAAGCTATTATGTTTCCTCAAATGAATTTAGGTGTGTCTCTTTGATTTTTACATTACTATTTTTTGTCTTAAAAAGGGATAACTATTCTAAGCCAAATCTAAGTTATTTCACAATTTAAGAGAAAATCTATAAATATATATATTATAGGTATTTTATAACACTGGTAAAAATTTAAAAGCATTTCACATACATTTACCTTAATAGTGAAAGAGATATGATTATTAAATGAAAATTTTAGTTGTCCTCGTCATGAAGACTTTAACTATTGAAAAACTATTATGTGAAAATAGAATAGAATAATTATTATAAGGAAATAGAATAACTATTATGTATTTTGGTACAACATGTAAAATACGACATGAATAGATATGATGACTTATTGTTGTGTTTGATTGATAAAAATAATTTCAAAATAAAATAAATATAAAATAAAAAGAAAAAACCCCTAATTATAATATATGATTCTTTAGTTTTATTTTATTTTAAAATATTAATAATTGAAAATTTATGTAAAATAATAGAAATATTAATTTAAATAATAATATTTTATTTAATTTTTATATTATTATGATTATTTTATTTTATTTTATTTTTAAAATATTAATAATTGATCATTCATTTAAACTACTAAAAATTGATCATTAAAATATTTATATTTTATTTATAATTTAATCAATAATTTTTTAAAATATTAATATTTAATTTAATTTAAATATCATTATGATCAACTTTTTATTTTCATTTATTTTTAAATCTTCATAATAAATCATTTAAATATTAATATTTTATTTATAATTTAATCATTAATATTTTCAAATATTAATATTTTATTTAATTTAGATATTAACATGATTAATTATTTTATTTTATTTTATTCACAAATATTCGTAATTTTTAAATTATTTAAATATTAACATTTGATCATTTAAGTATTCATATTTTATTTATAATTTAATCATTAATACCTTATAATATCAATATTTTATTTAACTTAAATATTGTTCTGATCAATTTTTTATTTTATTTTATTTTCTTTTTAAATATTAATAGTTGATAATTTATTTAATATATTAATAATTGATAATTCAAATATTGACATTTAATTTATAATTTAATCATTAAAATTTAAAATATTGATATTTTATGTAATTTAAACATTATTATGATTACTTTTTATTTTAATTTATTTTTCCAATATTATAATTGATAATTTATTGAAAATATTAATAATTTATAATTTCATTATTAACATTTTATTTATAATTTAATCATTAACATTTTAAAATATTAATATTTTATTTATAATTGAAATATTGTAATGACTACTTATTTTAAATTCCATTTCATTTGTTAAAGGACAAAAATACCATTTTATATTTTATGATTGATAATTTTTACTTTATTTTCTTTTTTAAATATTAATAATTGAGATTTTATGTAAAGTATTAATAATATTAATTTAAATATTAATATTTTATTTATAATTTAATCATTAATATTTTTAAATATTAATATTTATTAAATTTAAATATTATTATGATTAATTTTGTAATTTATTTTTCTTTTTAAATATTACTAATTGATAATTTACATAAAATATTAATAATGGAGCATTTAAATATTAATATTATATTTATAATTTAATCATTAATATTTTAAAATATTAATATTTTAATAAATTTAAGTTTTATTATGATCAATTTTTTTATTTTATTTATCTTTAAATATTAATAATTGATCATTTAAATATTAATATTTTAAATATTAATATTTTAAAAAAACTAATATTACATTTAATTTAAAACATATTATGAGTAATTATTTTATTTTATTTTTAAATATTAATAATTGATAATTTATTTAAAATATTAATAGGTGATAATTTAAATATTAATATTTAATTTAATTTGAATATTGTTATGATCAATTTTTTATTTTATTTTATTTTTAAATTTTAATAGTTGATAATTTATTTATAATAGTAATACTTGATAGTTTAAATATTAATATATTATTTAAGATTTAATCATTAATGTTTTACAATGGTAATGTTTTATTTAATTTAAATATTACAATGATTAATTTTTTTATTCATTTTATTTTTTAAATATTAATAATTGATAATTTAGCTGTTAACATTTTATTTATAATTTAATCATTAACATTTTAAAATATTAATATTTAGTTTATAGTTGAAATATCATTATGTCTAATTATTTTTAATTTAATTTAATTTATTTTTAAATATTAATAATTAATAATTTATTTAATATATTAGTAATTGATAATTTAATTATTATTATTTTATTGATAATTGAAATTTTATTATGCTTATTTATTTTTAAGTTATTTTATTTTTTTAATATTAATAATTTATAATTTATTTTAAATATTAATAATTTAAAATTTAAAATTAGATATTTTATTTATAATTAATTATTAATATTTTAAAATATTAATATTTTATTAAAAATTGGAATCAAGTGAGAGAAGGAGAGAGAAAAAATAATATTTTATATAAATTGAGTTGTAATTTTTTAAACTTGTAAGGAATATTTTTACCTTTATTTTTTTTTAAAATTTATTCCTCAATTATGAAATAACTAATACCATGGGAAATGTAGTATTAACTATTTCTCAATTTTAGAGGATCTTGAAAAGTAACCAACCAAATAAAGGAACACAAGTTTCTTAAGAATAAAACCATTGCCACAGTCAAATATGTTATAATTTTCCACATGGTGGTTGGCACAACTTTTCCTAATTTTTGGCCACCAATATTGCGGCCAACCCCCTGTCGTCTACTTCTCTAACTCCTCTGAACCTATGCTTGTAAGTTGCTAGCCTGGCCATTTGCCACCCACATGGTCTTTTCTTGTAATTTCCTTAAGATTACTATTAAAAATATCGTCAAAATTTAGTTAATACAATTAGTTAATTTGATTATGATGAATTTTGGACGATGCACCAGGTTCGGCCTATATGTTCATCATGTGGCAACTACGGTGGAAGAGTGAATGTTCATTTTTCTAGACTACAAGACCTGGTTACGAATCTTAAATCTTGCATATACATAATTATCTATAGATGTCATCGTGCCATGAGTTTATATTCTTAATTCATAGGTTATGATTATTAATTAAAAAATATTTTTATTTATAAATTTAAGATTTATTTTATTTTTTATTGATATGTAATCTTTGATAAATAACTTATTCTCAAACAAATATCTTAACAAAAAAGTATGATGACTTATGTCTAGATATACATTTTACCGTAAAGATATCATCAAAGCCAAAAGCACGAGTTAGAAGCACTATTCTTAAAAAAATTTAGCTATCCTATAGGGTAAATTAACGTAGGATATCTATTTCTTGGACTCTGATTTGGGTTGAGCTTGAAGTTGAAGGTTAACTTTATCTTGTTGAGCCATGTATATCATTTACCCCCCTTGCCATTTACATAACCTTTTTATGAAGCTTGTAAAGTCGTACCTGCTTCATCAGTATGATTAAATAAAGCTTAAAGCAAGCGTGTCAAGAACATGCCAAAACTCTAGTTAGTTTATTATTATTGAGAAGATTAATCATTAAGCTCCATTATTTGTGCTAAATTCCTAACGTGGTGGGTTGTGGGTTGTCGTACATGATCATGATGCAGTCAATTCTAGATTTTCTAATCCAAATGGTACATACGTATAATCCTCTCAGGAAAATACTTTGTTATTAGAGTGAACAAAAGGGAAATGGGATTAGTGATTGAGGAAGTGGCATTGGCCTGATTTTCTTTTGCCCTTTTGTTTTGAACGATCGTTTCTGGATAAGATTGTTGTTTGTTGTTGGAAGGTTGACAATGTCAAAAAGGGTGGACGGCAGGTTGGCTATAGAGAATCCGTCGGTGGACCAAACAATGCCCTAACTGATGCACTCAATAAGTTATAAAGCTTAATTATGCCATTGGGGCTCAACCACCATTCTTAACGACAATTCCTGTGCACCCCACGACAAAATTGCTTCTTCTAGTCTTTTTCACCATGAAATTGGAGAAGAAAATGGTTTCCTTCTGGTGGAAGATTTGGAAAAAAAATTAGGGCTCACTCACTACTCAATTAGATGGTTAAGTCATATAAAGCTATATATAGTTTGATTGCAGTTACTATGTTAAAAGAATTCAAAATTTCTTTACTTGTTGAATTAATCAATAAATTAAGTAAACTCCCATAGCTAAGTATGTGAAAGCCATTTTGGATAAAACCAATATTAGCATCCAAAGATTAATGGTATTAAAACATTTAATTACAACACACACAAATAAAATCATAGATAAATGCATCAACATATTTGTATCATCATCAACCTCTGCAAAATCATTAATCACATGATTATCGAAATTTTTTTACTTTATTTAAAAAAATTAAGTGGAATTAGTACTATCAATTAATAGTAGTTATAATTTAGTCACTTCTTGCTTACTAATTAATAATAATACTCCTAATTTATGAAAAAAAAATGTTTTAAGGAATGAACTATCTGTCCCATAGTGGCATTTTACAAACATAATTCTTTTCCCCACGTTGGCCTCTGAATTTACCTTCCTGTCTCACCCTCCCTACCCTCTGTCTCCCCCCACCCATCCAACTACCTCTCCATTCCCCCACCTGCCTCTCTCCCTCTCTTGCCATCCTCCCGCTGTCACCCTCTCTCCTGTTTCCTGTCTCTTTTCTCTCCAAATCCTTTCGATGTCAGACCACAACCCTAAAGAACCTAACATTAACACCCTTAGCATCGACCTCACCGAACTCATCCTCTCTTCCCTTCCCATCCCCTCCCTCCTCCGCGCTTCCTCTGTTTGCAAACTTTGGCACTCTCTCATTTCCTCCCCGTCTTTTACCTCCCCTTCCCTTTCCCATCCTTGGTTCTTTCTCTTCGGTCTCCACAACACTTCTTCCAAAAACAACCAATCCTTTGCTTTTGATCCTTTATCCAACACCTGGTTTCGTCTCCCTCACCTCGACGACTCCTCTTCGTCGTCTCTTCTGGGCTCCAATGGCTTCTTTTTCACCACTACTCCGAAATTCAGCTACACCCCAGTCCTCAAAACGACCTGGCGTTTGACCTCTCCCTTGAAGTACTCCAGGATCAACCCTCTTGTAGGTGTCTTCCTTGATGGTTCCTCCGGTGGGTACGGCTTCAAATTCATCGTTGTTGGTGGGGTCAGGTTCATCGGTGGCCTGGTCGATATCGAAGACAGGTTGGCAGTTGAAATATACGATCCAAATCACGATTCTTGGGAACTCTGCCCTGCTTTGCCAGTTGATTTCAGGAATGGAAACTCCAGCCAATCTCTGTCATCAGCTTTATTCAAAGGCAAATTCTATGTCTTTGGGATCTATTCCTGCTTCGTCTCTTCTTTCGATTTACAAAACCACGTGTGGAGCGAGGTTCAAACTCTCAGGCCACCTGGGGTCATCTTTTCTTTCCTGATTTCTTGCAATGAGATGCTTGTTTTGGCTGGGATGTGCAATGCGCCACGTGGGCCGTCGTTTAATCTCTGGAAAATCGATGAGAGGACAATGGAATTCAGCGAGATTGCGATCATGCCGCAGAGCTTGTTGTATAGTTTAGTCGATAGCGAGGAAGATGACAAATTTGCAAGCTTGAAATGCGTGGGAATGGGTAATCTCATTTATGTTTTCAATGAAGAGTATCACCAAAAGTACCCAGCTTGTCTCTGTGAAGTCAGTGCTGAAAATGGAAAGTGCAGTTGGAGGAGAGTACCTCAGTTGCCCTCACCTGTTAACAAGTTCCATAAAGTCATTAGCTTCTGTTCAACAGTTTCTCTGAATCATATTTTTCGCCAACAAGAGGACGTTGGACCGCCACAAGCTATGTATCACTGACTCATTTGCCCAATCACTTGGACCTGATTCGGTACGTAATTTGAACCTCCAACTTCATTTCCTTTATCTTTCGTTTATGCTCTGAGGTACTGTATATTTGCATTACCATTCTTATTTGGGTGATCATGATGATTATTACAAGCTTTTAATTTATTTTTTTTCCTTGGGAATGGTTTTGAATTGAAAGATTTTTGTAATTGTGATCTCGAATAGTAGTTCCTCGTGGATGTATGGATGGGATCCAGCTCTGGCAATTTACCCAAATTTAAAAAAGAAAAACAAAAATGGAAGTTAAATTGATTTACTGGATAGGAATATGACATGTAGTAACTAAATCCAGCTTTGGCTGCCTGGTATGGTTTAGGACACAACACCAAAATGAAATATGATCAAGAACTTTTTGGCCAACGCTTTGTGTTTCCAGATTCTTTCTTAGCCCTTTATCTCTGTATGTGCAAAAGGCAGGAGCTCCTTCCTCGCTGAATGTCTTGATTTTTTCGTTTTAGGAAATTGCTATTCCTACTAAACTTCATTTAAAAGGTATTGTTCCATATATCCTGACGCCAATTTGTCACACAAGTAGAAACTGCTAACAAACCGGTGAGTTGAGTGGGGCAAATAAATGTCTAAAGCCTTGTTTTGGTGGCTTGAATTGAAACTCATAACTAACCCTTTATAATCTTTAATTATTCGCCAATTCATTCCAAATACCTCTGTTTTACTAGCTATTCCTGTCTGGTTACTTGCGTTTGCATTTTCAGAATGGTTGCTGAAAGTGGTTTTACTTCATACAGACTGCAGCAAAACCCTTTTTTTTCTTTTCTTTTCTTTTTGGGTTTTAAACATCATTTTTGTTTGTCATTTTCAGTCCTATGGTGTCTCCTCGCTATGTCCTATATGTCCTACAATTACCATGTTTGTATAATTTTCATAATTTATGAATTAAGTTTACGTTTTAAATGATGATTAAAAGTGTATAAAAAAATATTTAATGAAAAGGGTTCCATCTTATTTTTGTAGAAGAAAGAAGCAGTTTTGGTAAATTATAATTAATGCACGTGGTATTGGTTGGTGTCTTGCTGAACACATTCATAAAAGAGAACAAGCAACAATAACATAACCACCCTGAGTTTTGATACCATGTAAAGCATCTAGCATAAATGGCAAGGGGCCTGCCACATGAACCAACTCCTTAGCAATAATTAACAAACTGTGTTAATTAAGTATCCAATTTAAAATTAATTGGCAATAATTAAAAAAAAATTAAGTTCAATATCAAACCACCAAATCCCAAAATTTAACCAATGTAAAACAACACCAGTGTATATAAAAAATTTCAATGTTTTCAGTTGAGGTGTGATGTGTGGGTCATACTCTTATTCATCAATTGTGGTAGTTGCAACTTTAAGTTACCTATTGAACCTACGCCACCTTGCAATTGATTGCTAGAGCTTCAGCCAAGGAAGCCTTAGGCAAATAGAGTACTCTACTTCTAGAAATGACCTGCAGATGAGCTAAAGAGCAAAGATAATGCAGAAATATATAGGTGTGGCATTGGTTAATAACTGATTCGTGACCTTAACAATGAAATTTGTGCTGCGTTATGCTGGTGTAATGGTTATTGGGATGTTACTGACATTTCCATCTTTCCACAGCTTGCTTGACACCATCGCTGATAACAGATTTGCAATAATCCAATAAATGGTGGCTGGCGAATTACATCATACTTTTATACAGAGATGAGTACATAGTTTCTACCACTGTACTGTACGATTCTTCATGTGTCAGTCCTTGCATATGTGTATGTATTATTTTATGAGCTACATTTTCAAAGTCTCACAAGGAGGCAAGGTCACAAGTTTCCATGGTTGCTGAAGTTTTTTTTCCTTTGATTGATCCTCTCTCTTCAGTTGATTGTGTTGGTGTCTGTATATTGAAGAAGTTGTTCTGAAAGCGTTTCTTTTTCTTTTCTTTTCAGAACTTCAAATGTGAATTCGTATTAACTGATGCAATGAATTTTATCAAGTAATGCTTCAGCTCGAACCTCTTTGATTCAACTAAGGTGGTGTGATGAGTGGTTTTAGAGAGGTTACCTAAATATGTAAGGAGTATAAACACATTTGTATAGACTTCAATGAACAATCTTAACAATTACATTCTACATATATATAATAAGTTAATTTTTCTTGTATCTATGCTCACGTGTCAAAAAAAAAAAACAACCGTAAATTTCATATCTATTTGTTATTTAAATATTTATACAATTTTCAATCCATCAAATGTCTTTTAGAAAATAAAATTGTAAGTATAAATAATTCAAAACAAATAATAGTTTAGCATCGAGCATTTGATTTATTGGTTGATGCATTATCCTTTTACTTAAAAGAGTAAAAGTCGAACCCCTCTCTCCTAATTATAAAAACAAAAAATAGATAATAGTTTACAAATTAAGGTAAACCGTGACACATAGTATATAGCTAAGAGTAACTTTGCAAGTGATTTTGTTGCTAGCTATCATTCTAACTAGCATTTTGTGGCAGCGAATACTCATACGAATTAGTTTCTTGGATCATGCCGATACGGTAGTTGATGAAGAATTATGAACCATTAGGGGGTCCAAACTCCAAAAATCATATTCCTTGAGTTATAGATTTTCAATTTCGTCCCAAAGGGGTGGAGTGCAATCTGCATATATAGTGATACTATGCATCAATAATAGCCATGTAAGTCTATTAATCAAGAATAACGAATACCCTACATATATAAATACTAGAATTGGCCCATGCACTGCATTCAGGTCATATAAAAAATTTTGAAGAAAGTGTTGATCACAAAAAATATATGCAAAAAAGTTGATAAAGGTTTTATTACAAAGTGGAAGAGTATATTATAATTGTATACATTCAATTTCACACATTTAAGAAAAATTGAATGCCCGTGAACAAAATTAAAATCATGATCTGTTGTTCAATTTATCATGCTTGGTGTAAACAAAAAATATAAGGCAGTGTTTATAATCTTAGATATTCATTCCTACTCACTTAACAAAAAATCAATGCTCACGAACAAAGTTAATATCATAATCTGCTGTCGTGTTTTTGTAAATTTTTGTGCGTATACAAAAGTTAACACTATAATGTTGAATTTATCATGTTGTCTATAAATAAAAAATATAAGGCAGTATTTATAATCCCATAAATTCACTACCATCCCTTCCACAATAAGTTAGTGCTCATGAACAAAATCAGAATCATAATCTAATGCTTTGTTTTTGCATATCTTTATATATACAAAAGTTAACATCATAGTGTTCAATTCATAATGTAATCTGTGAACAAAAAATATAAAATAGTGAGGCTATTCTTTGATGATTGTGTTGTTTTGGAGGATCCTCTTCAAGGTAAAAAAAAGAAATAAAAAGTTAGGATTGGTAATGAGTTGATCAGCTAAGGTATTAAGGTGAATGAGACAATAATATTAGATAAAAAATAGAAAAAGCAACTCCATTATCAAAACAAAATAAACATCGATCAATTATACATATAGAGTAAAAATAAGCAAATATGGAAATAAAATACATATTTTGTTAGCATGTAATTCTCTGAATCAATGGTAATCAGTTCAATCAAACCATGACAGACATATTGAACTTCATTAAAAAAGAAATCTTTTTAGAATATTAACTTTGCAACTTTTTAAACATAAAATCATAGTAGACACTAGATATGTAATTTGTTTATTGTGTAAGATTCCATAATGATAAACATCATAATAAAAAAGAAATAAAAAATAAAACCAAATGATAAGCGAATGGGAAACCAGACACACATAACTTAATATCATACGATTCGTCTTTAGACGATACACTACAAGAAAACTGATTTTTTCTGATAAAAAAATTTCGTTGGAAATTTCAAACAAATTTCTAACAGAATTCCAACTGAAATTTATTTTACTTTTTTTCAACAGATTTTCGACGGATTTCGAATGGAATTTTTCTAACTGAAAAATTCCGTTGAAAATCCGTCCGAATTTTTTTGGTGCAAAAAAATTTTATTCCCGTCAAACTTTCCAATGGAATTTTCAACGGA